TGTTAAACTATCCACTTATTCTGAGGCACTCCACAGCACTGAAATGCCATTATCTCCAGGTGATGCTGGCAAGGAAAATACACTCTCAGTGCATTGCAAAGACAACCCTGTGTAAGGAAAACAGGGAGCCAGAGGGATCTGACCAGAGACTCGCCTGCCCTGAGCCTGTCCCCCAGGCACATCACCTTTCCAGCTAGGAGGTCTCACCATCTGTTGATGGTTCAGACTCAGAGCAGCACAGGCAGGTAGGAGTCCCACACACCATACCATGGAGTGGGTGGGGGAATGGATCTCAAGCCACCTACATATTGCATGGTGTGCAGTAAATAAAGTGGGTGGATTGAATGTCATAGATACATACCACTCCTAAACTCTTATCTGTCTGCACTGGTAACTGTGCCAGCTGCTTCTCCACCTACCTAGAGGCCTTTTGGTTATGGAAACCCACAACTCACAATGATATTTTACTTCTGTAGAGATATATTGCTTACACCCACCTTTGAAACTGAGTAGACAACAAATGTTCTTTCTTGGTATCAAAGAGTGACCTGCTCTCTCAGGTGGGGAGCCGTCCCTTTTTGTGTGATTTACTGAGACTTGGTAGTTGAATTAACAAAGGCAAATAACACCTTGCTTGTTTATTTAGTTAGATACAATTTACCTGTAGCACTGGAATGGCAACCAGTCACTCCTACTCTCTTCTGTTATATGTGTTTGGGAGTTTGCAGGGTTTGCCAGAATGTGAGTCCAGGTCCAGATATGGGGCCTGTGGTAGTACCACACACTTGGCTGCATGATATTCCTTATCTTCCTTTTTGCTAATATCCCTGTTGGGAATCTTGCACAGATAAAAATAGGCCTTGATATTTGCTACAGTGTCTGCTTCTCCTTCCCAACGATTTGCAGACAGATACTTGCCAAGTGTCTAGTGAGTCATTTATTTGGGAAAAAACCACCACAACAATACAATCTGCAAACCCACACTTTTCCCACTCCCATGTAAGAAGCATTTTTAACAGCCACTCAGACCTAGTGTAGAACAGCTATTACCAACCTGCTTTTCTGTTTTTCCTTAAGAGTGATTAATACAACTCCAGGGACCAAATTTCCATTGCCTTTTTCTTTTGGTAGACACTTACTCTATGCAAAGTGTACGTGACACACTAACATGGTTGCAGAGACTCAACTTACTGAGCAGAGGTTGGGTGGACAGGCATGGACTGGGCTGGTGGAGCTGCCTACACTCTGTCCTTGGCAGAAGGCTGGAGACTAGAGCTTCAGTACACTAAGCTGCTTTGCTGCTCTGTGGTCCTGGTCCAGTCATCCATTTACTCAGTGTAAAGCTATTTTAGATGGGCTTTTTTCAGCAGTTTGTGCAACACTGCCAGGGTGCTCTGGAGGGAGCTAAGTGCTGTGTTGCCCTGAGGATGTTTTTGTAATTGAGTACACTTGGTCAGCTTTACTAAGACATAGATAGACTAGATTTTGAAAACATAAAAGAAAGGGGAATAAAAAACCCAAAAATCTCTATGAGCAAAGAGACCAAACTTATGGCACTTACCACCGAATGCAATGTCATTCTCTGTACTCCAGCAGTGCAGTAGTTGTAGGTGGACTGACTCCTCAGACGTGGGCTCTTACAAGGCCAGATCCAAACCAAGGAACCACTAGAAACAAGCCTATTCACAAGTGTAAAGAGAAAAAGACCTAGATTTTTCTATGTTTAGTGCCACTCAGGTCTGAAATCTTAGCAGTGCTCCAGAAAAAGCACCTTACTGAGCCCCAGGCTGAGGCACGCAGCAGTTCAGGAGTCATCAAAAAGCCACAGTGTTTGTGATTTGCAGAGCAGGAGTCATGAGTCCTGGTACTTTGCTCTATACAGAAACAGTAAAGGTAGGAGGCACAAAATGCTGGGAATGGATCAATGTCTATCACTTACAGCTGTCAAGAAAGCATATTTGAGATTCCTTGATGGGAGAAGCAGACATGTGAAAGACTATTTCTAGAGAAGGGCTGGTGTTTCCCCGTGTCTTTGGGAAGCAAAATTTCCTGTCATTTCCCATTGAACTCTTTTCTGCAACATGTAAGCCTGCATCCATAGTTATGGTGCTTCTGATTTTTATTACAAAGCCAAAAAGCTGAGGTTTGTTTTCTAAGCAGAAATCCTCCAACCCTCCACCGTATCATCTCCATGGCACAATCTAATCAATACCTACTTGCATTTGAGTATCCTACCATCTCTTATACGGGATCCTGAAAAGCCCTTGAACAATTATTACTATACATGACTATTTTCTACTCAGGAAACAAAAATTTAAAATCTTGGCATTCTATTTTTAAATAATAAATAGAAAATATTTATTTTACAGCATTTTCAAGATCATTTTGACAAAAAGGCAGTTTTCATCAAGCATTTGACAGACCAAAAGAAAGAACTTTTACAGAAAGCTTCATAGCTCATACAACTGCATACACAAGGTGAGTTCTTGCTCTTTAGGTATATTTACGTATGTGTATGTTTCCAGTTTTAACAATTACAAACTAAAAGCTAATATACTGAATTTCAAGAAAACTCCTACTCATGATATAATTACATTGCAGTAATAAAATCAGTGCTTAATATGTTCAAAACAGACAGATATGAAAACAATATAGTACTTTGCCACATTGCCATCTCCTCATCTATACAAATCTATTATGTTTCTTTTTCTTATCTCTCTTGGTTCTTCAAAGACCAGCTTCCTAATATCAGCTCTGTGCTACCAACAACATATGCATTTGGAAACAGCACAACAGATCTTATACTAAGATTATTAGAAGATAGAATTCATTGCCAGTGTGGTGATCTGCAAAGAAAATACAGCATTTTTCTCACTGCTTTAATGAGTAATCAGCATCTTGAAAAAAAATCAACAGCAAAAAATATCTCCCTAAAAGCTCCAAGCAGAAAAAAATCAACCAACTGACCCTCAGGTGTCTTTAGTTCATTACAGAGACATCAATATACTGACAAAGACATAAAATGTCTTTGGGCAAAGTCATTTCATGCTTTCCACATTAGGATGCTGATACTAACTGGCTACTAATCATATTGGAAGAAGAAAACATCATGAAAAGAGGAGGAAAAAAGGCTATCTGCTTTTGAGCACCAGCCAAACCTTCCAATACCACTCCTGCATAATTAGGGCAAAACTATGAGATTTGGATCTTTAGAGAAGAATTTATAACTGGCAGCAGGACTTCTTAAAGTGAAAACAAAGAAAAAGAATAGAAATATGCTGAATTCAGGAAAACTCTGGTAGAATATTCACAAGATACATGGTTAAAATCAGGTTTTGCAACTATACTAACTGGAAGATATTCCTTTAAAATATATTTGGAAATAAAGTGTTGAACTGTGGGACAGATCCCCAGCTAAATTCAGCAGCACAATCAAAGATCATAGCAGCTAAAATCCTGACCTGTATATGTATAATAAGCACATTTATAAATAGGGTAATAATCATTATAATTAAGTTCAAGCCACAGCAATTAGATCTGGACTTTGATCATGCCAATCATAGTGAGCTTTGGATTAGACCCATTTCTAGGAAACACATGAAAGATAGAAGAGGAGGAGGAATGAATGACAGAACTACAACTGCCTGGAAGTGACCATTAAGATGCTATATTGTATACTAAATACAGGAAGTGAAAGCTTAAGTAAAGAAGGTGCAACTAAACATCATAAAGAATTTAAAAGAACAGACTATAACAAAACCTGAGAATTTATGCACACATTAAGCACTGATGAAATTTCCCATCCTGATATAATTTTATTTTAAATTATCTGAAGCGATGAAATAGTTGAATTACTTTTCCTGTCTCACCTTTATACTGGCATGTGCAAGATTTCTAAACCAGGCTTTTATATTTTTGTGTTTTCCTCTTCTTTTTTTTTGCTTTTTTTTTTTTGTTAACCACACTTGCTGCAAACATGTAAAATAACGAGTTCTCAATGCACTGGTTATTAATACCATATATCTACTTCATAAAATATCTGCAAAACAAAGCACCCTATTATAAGGGTAACAACTGTCTCAGCTTGTATATGAAAAAACCAAAAGTGTTAGCACAGCATACAAATCTCCAAAGAGCTATCGAATATTTGTAACAATGTGATATAAAACATGATTTAAACATAAAAATATTCATAGGATATAAGACAATCTTCCAGTGGTAGTTGTTGGACGTTACGCTTCACACATCCCATTCACACGCATACGGATACACAGACGTACGCTCACTCTCTTGCCTCGAGCCTGGCTCTGTAACCCCTTTCCTTCAGGTTAACAGTTCTTGCTCTTAAGTATACAGCTATTTTGCAATGTATTTGATTACAAAGTAATACAAAGGAATGATGCAATGACATGGCAAAATATGTTGTTTTATGAAAAGATAGTCAGTAAATATTGTTCTGCTACAGGAAACGTTGTGTAACAGTTTAGCCACATGGTTTGCAATCTTATACAAAAGGGCAGTTTTTCCAAGTCCTTATCATATTACAAGTACTACAGCGAGGGTTTTCTTAGAAACCTCTTGAGCCTTAACTTGATCATATTTCTTGCTCTGCTCACAAACAGTGTTAAAAAAAGCCCAGATCCCCCAAAAAGCAGCCTAGTATGAAGAACAAACCATTCAGACAAAAGTCAGTAAGAGCCATGTGCTCTCACATTATCTCAGCTCCTCTCCCCCAAACACATTCCACAGTTATGCCACCTATAGAAATCAGGAAAAAAATATTTATGCATATATGTGTCATATACAAGTAGCTTCATTCCCCCTCACCACACTCCACCCTTCCAGCTCCTGGGTGTGTTGCTTCCATAGCAGACAGACAGCAGTCATGGAGTGGCTAATGACTTCTCCAGGTCACACTTCCCAGAGTCCTTTTCAAGCATTGCCAAGAGAGGGTGTGACTAAGTGTGATTATACTTTTTTTCCTGTGTTTGTTCTTTTTTTTTTTTTGCTATAGAAGTTGTCTCTTGGATTTGTGCTTTGTTATTGTTTCCTAACATTTTCCCAAAGTACAATATTTTTATTTTTAACGGATAGAGAATCTTGAGCCCTCAGAATGGATTTTTATTTTCTTTTTGTTTCATTTTAGTTATTTAGGTGCAGGATGAAGTTTTTGCCCTGTCATTTGTGACTTTGTTCTCTGCTCTCTGTCCCCACAGCCCTGGGAGACTTGTCTCTCCAAAACCTCCCAGAGGGCAGCAGCCTAAGTCCTTCCCACCTTGTTTCTTGCAGCATCTACAGGGTGGATGAACTTTGCTTATAATCCCTTAGGATGACAGAGGCATAGGTCACATCTGGGGGTGTGCAGAGCACTGACTCTGAGACAGGGGAGCTGGGCACGGAGCTGCCTGAAGCCACTGAATCTCGGAAGGGTGACGGGGGCGTCAGCGCCGGAGAGTCTTCCAGAGTCAGTTTGCTGGTTGCTGGCTCCTCGTCCTCCTCCTCCTCTGTGTTCTTCTCATACACATATCCCTGAATGAGCTTCACCTTCTCACTCTCTGCTTCTTCGGCCGGGGAAGACAGGGGCTCCTGGCTGAAGGCAGCCAACTGGAGAGGCTGCAGGGTTGGTGGGGTCGGGGGCTGGTAGGGGGGCCGCACACCATTCCCTGAGCCGGGAGTGGGGAGGACAGCATTGAAGTCAGGGATGCCGGGGGCAAACTTGTTGACCACTCCTTCCAGCTGGTCCATGAGAGACTGTGGCTGCAGGGGTAGGGTCTTGGGGGACTGTTCAGGCAAGAAGAGTTGTGTCTCCTCCGCTGTGGCCTGCAGCGGAGGGGTGGTTGTCACCCGCCTGTGCACCACCATGGAGGGACTGCTGGACTGGTTGAGGTGAATGGGCTCTCTATCTTCTTCCTCCACCACATTGTACAGAGTCTTACTGCTGATGTCGGTAAAAGTCAGGCTTTGGCCTTGGTAGTCTTTAGTGAGGGGTTTGATTACCGCTGTCTGATTGCACCCTGTGTCCTGGTTCTTCACATGCACTGAGAGTCTGTGCCATGTATGTTCCCCCTTGGGATCTTGTCTTCCACCTGGTTCAGACCATGACACAGACTTTCCATTAGAACTATGAATAAAATAAAGATGAGTTTATTTGCATTTACATTACACAGACACAGGCAGTATAACAAACAAGCCTACAAAAATAGATTGCTTTGCCTCATTAATAAGCCTCCCCCCTCCAGTTCTTTGTGTCCTCCCAGAAATACTACATAAGGAAACAACAGTGTCTTTTAACAGCAGCGATTACTGTGATTTTCATCTAAAAGCGATTACTTCCTGCTGGTTATCCAGCCTGGAAAGGCCAGCCTGCAGGAAGGGCTCTGGAGGCTGCAGTTTGAGGACTCAAGCTATTTCATTTTGCATCTAGATCTGCTTGCCCCACCTTGCAGGGGGAGAAGAAAAAAAAATGGGAAAAAAAAAGTCATAGGAAGAGCTTTAATTAAGCCTGATTTGCAGATTATAGGAAATATTTTCAAGCTGTGGGAAGAAAAACAACCCACAGTCATAGCCTTTAGCACACTGAGTAGAGAGAGGAATTGTTGCTAACCCCTCTTTTCCTTTTTATTCCCTCTCCCCCTTTTGCACTTAGGAACAGATTAGCTGTGAGAGAAATGAAGGACCCCCAGGGCCTTCATCAGGTAGGAGGCAAATGTGCTTCTTCCCAGGTGACTATTATTTACAAACCAGGATAAAATGCTAGGACTGAAAACAGTTGGTGTGTGTGGGTGGAGGAACAAGCAGCGACATGACCATGGTGAGTAAAACCCTCCGACTCCTCATATGGGCTGGGTCTATCAAAACGCTGGGCAGTTTGGCTGAAGGAGGATCTGAGGGTCAGATCTGCCCCTGAGGAACTGTAGAGATTTTTACTTTTCACTGTACCTTTGAAGGGAGCAGCACTCAAAGCAGAGTGGTATCTTTTTAGCAGCTGTTGGGACAGGGAGCTAAGAGGACCAACCAACTGTTTAATTATAGGTCAGGCAGTAGAAATCATTCATAAATTATAATATATATCACCTGGGTGGAAACCAGAGACAGAGAGAAATTCTGAAATGATTTATTCGAAGCAGCCTTATCACAGGGTTTCTTCCCTCGGGGGCAGAGGCAAACAAAGGATTACATTTCAGACCCTGTGATTGCTGTGCAGGTAGGAGGCAAACTGGGTGGGAGGCTGGCACAGCAGCCTCACCTCCTGCTGCTGCACACACCAGGGGAGATTGCTTCCTTTACAGTATTGCAATATTATTCTAAGTATTTTGCTTTTCCTTGCTCAGACCCCTGTGGTTCTCTTTTTCAGGGAGTAAATAATTACCACTTGAATTTTATTTTAAAAAAATATTGACTGACTTTGTCATAGCTGGAAGAAACTGGTGCAACACAGATAGTGTTGTAAATCTGTCAAAACACAAAAGAAATGTACATAGCAATGTGTCACTTTTGTGCTTATCAGTAAATATTCCTGGAGAAAAAAAAAAAGGAATTTGAGATGGATCCAAGCTGGGAAGTTCATCTCGAACTCCAGACTCCAAACGCTGGACCTGTGACTCACCACTGCTGTGGGAACTGGGGCACAGGAAAAGGCCAAGCTAAAAAATTCATAACTCCCCAAAGCATGTAGGACCAGGAGCAGTTTGGATTAGAGCTTTAACCTAGAGGGGAAAAAAAGCCAAGTTGCCAGCTGAAGAATGCAACCTCTACAGTATAGTGATCAATGAATAGATAAGAATGAAGGTTTAGAAGCATTCCTGTTTTGATCAAAATGAGCTGTGGTATATCATTTTTTTTGAATTGCTGTAGAGATAAGCAAATGAATGTAACTGTTGGGTGTGAAAGATTTTTAAAGTAGTGTTTTAACATGCCAAGATCCACAAGCTTCATACAGAAACACAGTTTGTCTGTTTTAACCTCAAAACAAGTCTCTTCTTGTAGAGATGAAAATAAGTCAAGTGCTCTCATACTGTATTTTGCTGATGGTGTAGCTTACAAATACTGCAAAGGGCTTTTCTGTAAAAAAATATGATTATCTGCTGCCTTTTATGCTAAGTCCACTTCTGCATCATTTATTTCTTCATATATAGTTCTGGCGCATCGCACTTTTGATTCTCTCCTCACACCATCTGTTTTGTCTCTATCTCATTTTGTTCCCAAGATTTTGTATTTTATATCAAAGGCAAGCATTGCTATTTTAAGGAACTGACTATCTCTTTCTTCAGACCTACTCCTATTCAGTTAATTTCCCTCTTCTTCACTCTCAAATTCAGCTCTTCTGATTTCTTTCTTCTGTGACACTCTCCAAAATGTATGTAATTGAGCCCAAGTCAATGGCTATGCTTAAACTGCGCTGGGACTGCAATAGCTGAATGTGAACAAACTGCTTCATCAGGATTTGTCTGTTACCAACTTGCTCTTTGGGGAAAGCTGGTGCCACCAACACACCTTGCCTCTGTTTGCCAGACCTTACTCCTTATGAGTCCAAGGGCCTTGGGACAAAGAGCTTTAGAGCTGCAGTGGCTCTCTGTACAATCCATTTGACAATTTCCACTGAGAAATCTCTCTTTTCTGTTACTGTTCTCCTCAGACTCTTGTTCCAGTTCTTTCCCTCAAATTGCTCTCCTTGCTGTCACTGTGCACTGTTAGCCTATTACTGAGTCACGTTTAAGATGGAAGCACAAGACTGGCAGAGAAATACCTGGGCTCTGTCTTGTTGGATGGCTGGTAGGGGGTCACACCAAGATTGACACATCCAAGCAGAATTCATAATTCACATGCAAGAAAAACACTTGTTATGCTGGAACAAAGACCAGCCATCTTATCTTGAATGGCATTCATTGACACTTAGAGAAAAAGCAAAGATGGTTCTGGAAAATCTTGGACCTGAACTGAGTCTCAGTGAGGCAAGGAATCACCTCACTTGTGCAAAGTGATGATGACAATCCTGACTGCATGTGGGAGACATGGTCACCATTTGCTGATTGTCATCTTCTCTTTTGAAGGAAGCATCCATGGAAGAAGGTGAAGATAAAAATAATCTGCCTGGCATAATGGAAGAAGGGATAGTTTTCCACACAAAGGCAAGAGAGGGCACAAAGCTGCATCACTGTTGGGGTATTGAAAACCTGATGTTCTATTGCACAGTAATGAGATGGGACTAACCAGTGATTTCTTGCTTTTATCAAGAGGATGGTTACACATTTCAAGTCAGTCATGTATTTATTTGTCTTTCCTAATTTTATCTGTCCTTTATACTATTTCCCACACTCCTAGAAGTGAACTCCTTGGAGTCTCAAGGGATCTTAAGGTATGTTCTTGTGTATACACAGTGTAAGACTCCAAATACTATTTCTTCAAATCCTCACATCTAGCTTAAATGCTCAGAGATGGGTTCTTGGATATCCTGTCAGCACATACAATGAGTTTGCTTTTGCTTTATAGGCAAGGACATATATTGAATTTAGCTGCTTTTTCTCAATTTTCACCACAGCTTTGACTATGGCTTCTGTATTTTGGGGGAAATAGTAAGTATATTTCTTGTGCAAATGTTTATCAGTTCATGAGCAGATCTGTTGTTGGTTTTGGTAGTTCAAAGTGTTGTTTTTAATACATGAGTTGATCTTTATAACATACTCTCTGCATGGCTCTGGAGCAGTCATTTTCAGGTACTTTCAGCTCATCATTATAGACAGAAAGGCTGAAAGCCTTCAAAAGAATTGATGTACCCAAATCTGAGACTGTGGTTCAAATAGCCCTGCCCAGCCATGGGACATGCCCACAGCTTGTTAGATGCCTGAGGGCTCATTGTTAAGTCTGTCTCCAGCTGCTGAAAATCTTGCTCCTCCTTGGGACTATAAGTTCCCCAGACTCAAGTTCAGTTTCAGGCCAAGAACAGAGTCCTGCTCCTGCCACTGCCTGGAGGATCTGACCTTGTTGGGTTCCCTGAAGCAATGTCAAGTCTGAGCACCCCACAACAGGTGGTTCCTCTCCACACTACAGGATCCTGAAGATGCCTTACTTTAGATATTGAATACCAAAAGTTTCTTTACAACTTAGAGGCTGAATTCTTCTGAGGTTAAAGATGATTTTCCCAGTGGTCTGTAAGTTAGTCTGTGCAACTCTCTGATCCTTTCACCAATGAAGTTATAGCCTGAGATTCAGAGCTAGAGAATTAGATCAACTTTGAGTCCCATGTGTCTGAAACTTTGTCCTTTTTTGCCTTGAACATTCTATGCATAACAATCCCGAAATGATACCACACAAAATCGTTACATAGAGCGATATGTGCTCTGATGAAGTTAACTTCAGGAACCCACAAGCTGAGAAATGGCTTCAGATGCAGTCAGACAAAGTGCTAGAAGAAGAGCCCTTCCAGTTAAAATAGGAAGGGGCATTCCTTGATCTGTTAGAGTTCATCCCGTTTCACCCCTTTAGGATGCCAGAGTGGTGGTCTATTATGTTCTCCAAGTGGTCATGAGCTGAGGGAGGATCTTAGGCTTCCTGAAATGAGTGATACAGACATTTAGGCCAGGCTTGGTGGTGTTAGACAAGATTCAGAACACAGATTTATGATATAAGGCTGTTTTTTTAAAAGCAGCAATGGCAATTCACCAGAAGAAGAGGTTGTAGAAGTGATAAATGATACCTTTATATCATGGTCAGGCTGATGCTTTGGCCCAGCTTACCTCCTTGTAGTCACTATAGTAACAGAAATGCCACAGCCAGTAGGAAGGAAGCACTGGTATAACCTGTCAGTCTTGTCTATCTATGAAGATAAAATCTTACAAATGAACATAAAATGCAAACTGAAAAAAGCCTATCAACTTTGTCAGCAAACATTAAGTCCAAAACAAACCCCAAACTATCTCATCAGCAACCAGACAAGGTTGGTGTCAGGTACTGCCCAGTCAACAAATGATGCTCTCACCTTCACAGAACAGGACACAGTTGCAGCCACCTGACAGCTGGCTCCAGAATGCAGTGGGTGCAAGGGCTGTCCCTGGGTGCTGACACAGAGATGGGGAACCTTTGGAGGCAGCAGGGATGCAGAGCAAAAGGAAATGCCCTGTTCAA